GCACACATGGCAATTCTATCTGAGGTTTTGCTATGGGGGACTGATGATACAAAGCAGGTAAGGCCATGCAAATACATGATGTGTTGAATTGACTTGAGCAAAGGCCCTGAAAAAATAAAACTGTGTTGCTTTTGTTAAATGCTATTTTAAGGTGACCTTTTCCTGACCACACAAGGCATATACTGTATGGCAGCAGTCCTATAACATCTGTCCACAGGAAAAACCACAAAGCTCATAGGAGCACATGACATGGGTCCATTCCTCTAAAGTGGAAGCAAAGAGCAGAGGGGAAACATCCACTGAAAACCTTTAAGTAATTGCTAGAACTAGGCATTCTGGTCGTGCAGAACACACAGCATGAGTTCAAGAAAGTGTGTGCCATCTCCCGACCAGAATGTGGTGAATGGGAACAGTCACTTGAATGTGATCCGTGCTCAGGCTCAGACTCAGGCCCTAATTATATGGGAAAACAGTGTGGTGTGACAGCTATGGCTGGGATTGCGGTTGTCTCCTAGGAGAGTGCAGCTGACCCTGCGGAGAGGGAGAAGGAGAGAAAGAAGGAAACATTAAAAGGCGACAAGAGAAGAGCTGAGCAGAGTGGACAAGGAAGGCACCGATGGCACCGGCGAGAGGAGGGAGTGATAGAGGTGCGAAAATGCCAAGGACAAAGAAAAAGAGCGAAAGTGTGATTGTAGTGTGCAATAATGGGGAAGGGGGGGTTAACATTGGAGTCAGACTGCGCAATGTATTGCTGCTGAGTAAGGCCAGGGGCTTACAGGAAGGATTTAAAGAGCCACAGCAACACCACAAAGCACCAGGAGAAAGGGGGTTGCCCAGCAGGGGCCAGGGGAGGGAGGGCGAGCAGGGAGAGGGGCAGACTGGCTGGAGTGGCTACTCTGATCAGGATCCATTTCCAGCCTGGGCCTTGGAATTCCTTTGTTCCTGTCACAGGTCTCCGTTTCCCCCTCGCCTTAATCCCAGCCTGCCTCACGCCCAGTAACACAGAGCGGGGCAGGTAACTCTGCCACATGCATGCCTCTCTATTTACAGAGCAGACCCCGCATAACAGCCCATCACAGAAATAGTAATGGCTGTGGAAGCACTGAGGGGACACAAGGTGGGTTAATACAGGTTGTCACTTTAAAAGTATTTTCTGCGTCTTCAGAAAGTGATGGAACTGTTGCAGTGCGAGCCCAAAAGGATGACATGTTTCACCGAAAAACACCCATACAACTGTTTTTCTAACACTCACAATTTGACTAAATAGCACTTAAAAATGTGATAAACTGTTTCGGCCTTCAAAGAGCCCGAGAAGCCAAACAAAGCACAACCTATGACATGGCGGTGCAAAAATTAACCATCTTCCTTTTAGTCTCTACTCATCCTCCGCATTCTTCACTGGGAGGGAGATGGTCATTCGTAAACACATTCTCCAACCGTAAAGCTATCCAGCAACACTTGTGCTTTTTCCCGCATTGGCCGTGGCCAGGCTGCCTTAAGCCCCCTTCATAGGGCTGCCAAGAGGAGTCAGTGGTACACTGTGCAGCACTCGCAAAGCCCTCTCCCACGGCTATTAGTGACCATTCATCTGGGGAGCCTGGGAAAATGCCTCTCCAGCCTGCCGTGGCCATGGGGAAAGAGGCTGGCAGGTGTTCCCTCCCCCTAAGCCCTGGCACCTGTGCAGGGAGAGGAAGAAGGAACCAGCTCTGCCATGGGGTAGAATGGACTCAAGGTGCCACTTTGCCAGGACTCCTCTAACTCCGACTGGTAGGAAGCGCTTCAAACTCCAGGGCTACGATATACCCGAGCTTGGCCTGGCTTGGAGGGTTCAATGCGGCTGAATCGATAATAATAGTAAACGCAAGACATCTGGTAATGTGCTTTGGCAGTTTTAAATTGCATGCTAACTAAATCCGTGTAAAATGGGCCTTCTCAGTTTACACTCATACACCAATATATACACCATTATGGACAAAAAATCTATATCCCCTTGTGGTAAAACAATACTAGTACAAGAGCAAACGGAAATCAAGTACACAATCTAATCTACAGTGAGTATATCCGTAATGTCTGACAAATACTTTCTTGCGCAGTATGTACAGCACGTTGTGTTGTGCCATGTCTGAAGTGAACATTTTTTTCTTTCTGGCTTCTTTTTCTGCTGAGCAGTGGCATCTCTAGGAGGACAACTGTGACACTCGTGCACCAGCTTCCTTCCTCGAATATCATTTTAAATGACAAAAATGTATTCCTCAAAGCACAGAGAACCTATTATCCACTCATTTTCAATCTGTAATTACCCTGAGAAATGTGGGTGTGTTCAACACGGTCTACCAGGGAGAATGCGACAGGCCTCTCCCAAGCTCTCCTTCCCTGGGCTTCTAAAGTCTAGCATGTCCATTTCTGCCTGTCCAGAGCCAAGATGTTTGGTGGGAAAAGTTCCCCCTGTTCATCTCTCTGAAAACATAAATAAATCACATCACTATGAGCTAATCATGAAGTCTCAAGTAGCCTGGGTATAAAAAAAGAGGGGGGGCTGGGATTTGACAGTTGGAAATTGGCCTCTGCAGCTGAGATACGAAGAAAAGGATGGATTTATGTTGGGCAGAAGACATGAGATAAGCCCCACTCTGACATGTTCAGTGGGTGCAATACACACAGACACATATGCACCCACACACATACATAAATACAATAACCCATAGAGATAACTCAGATACAAGCATTTGCACTGAAGGGCCTTGGAATGCAAAAAGCTGTTGATGGCTCATTTGAAGTGCCAACAGCTGAGGCTGTTACGCTTCTCTTACTGCTGTCTGTTGGCGGAAGCCCCTGTGATTTCACACTGGCACCAGCTCAAACACCGCCTCATACAGGACCCACAATCCCCCTCCCATACCATCCCACACATAGCACCACACACCATCTGCCTATTCTTGGCCCAGACATCAGTGCCACCCTGCCTGACACCTTTCTCTATGTGTAACAACATGCATGAGCACATGATACAGCACATACACATGTCCCACTTCAGGGTCTCTAGCCTAATTCTGCTCTCAAATGTCATAATGTTGCACACAGATGTTAAAAAAGGTCTTCTGCTGAAACAGATACATGCAGAAAACCGGCTTCCACTTCCCGCTATGGACGGGGCTAAAAGTCCTGTTAGGCTTAGCATGTTAGCGTTTGACCTGCCTGCAGAAAGGACGACCCCAATACTTAATACCTACCCTGAGGTTTGCTGGGCTTCCCTCCCTAAGCCTATAGTCTGTCCTTCCCTTTTTATGGCTCCTGCCTGCCTGCTAACTTCTCACAGTCACAGTCTCCACCTTTACTGCTCTGCCGCCTCCCTCACATGGGACAATGAAAAGACCAAGAATGTGATTACACTCACTTAAGACCTTTAATAGGACTAGAGCACATGAACTGTGTGGGCCTGTTTGAGGCGCGATACCTTTTCATGTTCTGAGAGGGGGGGGGAATTCTACAGTATGGTATGGAGTCATGTTCCACTGGTTACATTCTTTTTGGCAACGCTGCAAGGAGCTTAATAATTTTTACATGCAGATTTCCTGCTGAAATACTGATAGTCTGTGTGTGTGTGTGTGTGTGTGTGTGTGTGTGTGTGTGTGTATGTGTGTGTGTGTGTGTGTGTGTGTGTGCGTGCGTGCGTGCGTGCGTGCATGTGTGCGTGCGTGCGTGTGTGTGTAACCTCAGTCTGTGATCTCCATCATTACAGATGTCTGTCTCTCCTCAGTCTGTCAAGGGAAATATGATACATGCTATTCTGTAACCGTACACTGTGAGCCTGTTCACACCTAGCCCAGGGGGAGGATATATCTCTCCAACGCACTGTCGCTCCTTTTGTTTCTCAATGTTTCTGGCGAGTATCAGCGCCTCTGTGCATGTAAGCATCCACATGCATGCTACAAGTATGCAAATGCTGCCTGTGACGACAATACTTTCAATTTAGAAAACAACAAAAGTTGAATAATGTACGCATGCATCTGTGTTTGAAAACAAATGCACATGTGAACGCAGGGTTTGAGTGGGTGGGGAGTAGCGTGAGAGGCAGAGCTGCAGCCACAGGAGAAACTTTATGGAGCCAACTGCCCTGTAATCCCACTCTCTCTGCCCTGCTGAGTGAGCGCGGTTTAACTGCCCTTAACTGCTACCTGTGACAAACCTGTCTGCCTTACAACACGCAGCCGGGGGTTACTCTGAAGCAGGGCTTACAACGCTTTAAAGGCATGTGCGTGGGTGGCTGAGGGAATGTACTTGCATTGGATAAATAGGGATGAATTGAATTGGCCTAGTCATATTGAAACGTCATTTATACGGGAACATATGTGTCAGGGCAACTGCTTTTAGGCTAACCACAAGTAGAGATAAACACAGGTGTACCAACCCCCACGAAGGGTTACAAACATTAGCCATTTTTAATGGACTTACATTATGTGCCAAGTTAAACAGTGCTGCACAATATAAGAACTCATATCAGCTCTCACCTCCTGGTCACACCCTGGGCGTAGAAAGCCACCGTGTCCCAACTAGTTCTGGTGTCTTTTCTCCCACACTTTAAAAAAAAAGGTAGCCATGACATTACTTGTGCTTTACAACTCCATTCCCATCCTTCTCAGGGCTCAGTGGCTCACTCCCATGCACGCAGCGATATCTCTGCTCTGAGGGCCAAGTGAATAAATAATGGATTGAGTTCAAAGCCAAAGTAAACCATTTTTCCTATTCAAGACTTGATGATAGACACACCTAAGACATGGCAAGGGAAGACAAAGATGACTGCATTCCTGAGATGTGAGCAATAGGGAAATCAAAACATTGTTCTCATTACATAATAACAATTCAGACTCACTTACCAGTAAACACATGAATAAGCAATGTCACTCATATTATGGATTGTTAAAAGGCAATAATAAGCATATGTAATAGTGGATTATTTTGCTCTGGGGCAGTGTATTGAGGGTCAAAAGAAGGTGTTTTACCTTTTACCAAAAAGGCTGGAGCAGGTGGCAGCTCCTTTTTCTGTTTGGGCTGTGTTCTGTGGTGGAGGGACTCTGCGTACTGCTTCACCCTGCGGTCCACAGCATCTCGTACCAGGGCTGTGGCTTCCTACAGTGTGAAGATATTTCATCTTTTCTCAACTTACAACACAGAAGTTATTTTATTTGACTTTACAAGTTAGATTTATGAAATGCAAAGGCAGACAACAGGAGAGTAGGAGTCTCATTTTGAAGGTCGGAAAAGGTAATTCAACAAGTGGCGATGAGAACAATTATGCGACAATGAAAGCCACTAACAAGATCAGACAGAAGGCTCAGAGTCATTTTAGTTTCCACGCTGCTGCAGACTTTTGAAAAGGCCCCAAGCAGAACAGAAGCCTTACATTCACGCACACACTTTATTCACACGCACGCCCTTCTGCCTGTGTCTGTACCTCGATGTGGTGCGCAGTAAACCAGCTGGTGTCCTCAAGGCCGGCCAGGGGCAGAACGTGGAGATCCACCAGCACAGCAAAGTTCCCACACTGTAACACAAAGAGGAAGGACAGCCACAGGTTGCTGAGGGGCATTGAGCTTACAGACAACAAAGGAAATCAGAGTGTGGGTGATTGACAGCGAGACAAACCACAACGACCCCCCAATGTCCTCAAACATCGCCCCAGGCCTCTCACCGCACTGCCCTCCCTCCAGTTCCTCTGTCTAGCCATCTCTTTACCAATCTCTTTACAAGTAAACCATGGCCCTGTCTGTCTAATCATATTTCTCCTCTTTAAGCGTATATTCTTGTTCTGTAGGCTTTACCAATAAAGCTACTGCCTCACGTCCCAGAAGGCTGCACAAAAAAGTCTGACGATGTACCACATAAATTAGGATTATCCAACTATGTATCCAAGTGGTTGTAAAACCCCACAATCTAACCTAAAGCACTTCTGCACTACAACTTCTGAGTGCTGTAGAAAGCTGAGTAGAGGGGCTGCAGAGTGGATTCCTGAAGCGCTACGTCACCGTGTCAATGACAATAAGCTACAAGGGACATGGAGGCCAGAAATGCCTCGGCTGGTTAAGTTGCTGTTACATCTTTCTCAGGCTAGCCTGATTATGGTTTACACATGAGTGCAAAAGCTGCCCGCTGCAGAGAGCAAATGAACGTGGGTCTCGTGTGAACTTCGCCTCAGCCTGGACAAGGAAGTAATGGATGGACTGAGACCACCCACAACCTGACACAGAGGAGCAACAACTGCCCAAAGACCCACAGTGGTCATGCAGCAAAAAAAGCATCAAACTGAATGGGGTAGCAAAAACAAAGTAATATAAAGACAAAACCAGACACAGATTTGAAGCTCTGCAGTGCAGAACTGGCAGAGAGTGTGTACAAACAGAAGAGGTTATTCATTTAGTAACTGGGGATACTTATGCACACTCAAAGCTTTGTTTTGGGCCAGGCGATTCCCACTGGGTGAAAGTATTGCAGACAGAATGACTGAACTTCACAAACCAGACTGAGGGATGTTCTTACAGCCCCGCTCTGTGGATGACGCGGGAGAAAGAATTAACAGGGTGTGTGCGGGAACGGGAAGGCCCCGCTACTTAGGTCCTAATTCTAGACACAAGCCTATACTTCACTACTCCATCCAGCTGCCCCCTCCTCTTAAAAGGATTCAGGTTAGCTCCTTCGTCAAAGAAGAAGATTGAGGGTGCTTTATTGACTACATCTGATCCAATTACATGAAATGTCTGAATAACGCCTCTGAGCAAATCAAGCTCACCATTTTTTTGAGCATTTTCCTTTCTCTGGGACTTTTTTCCCAGTAATAATTGAAGTGAAGCTGCTTCCTTACTTCTCCTAACAGGTTAACCAGAGGAGAGGGCGCCCCCATATGACTGATCAGGGAACTTGATTCAATTTCAGTCATAGCTTGCACTGTTTTACACGGTTCTTTTGCAAGATATGGCAAGTCCTAAAGCCCTGATGGGTTCCAACTTGTTCTTAAGTATGTCTAATTGGCACCGGTGTCACCTAGACTAATGGGAAAATTATGTTATTATAATTCCTTAGAAATGCCATGCATTCATCTGTGATACTGACTTATATCTTTAAATATGTCCAAACATCAGGATGTGATAGTCACAAATACAAAACTGTTAACTATTCTCTGTACAAACGTAAATATAAACTAAAGTCTCTATAAAAAAAGAAAAATGCTTTCACAAAGACAAAAATGCCATGGACCAGAACAGAGCCCCCCTTATGTGCAAGCTCGTCTTGTATAAAATGTATGCATGTTGCCTGTCAGAGTGAGCTCGTCCCCACAGATCTTCAGCCCTTTGTCTCACAGCGGCCCACGGATGACTGGTGGCTTCAGCTCACTGCCTTCAACAAGCACCAGTGTGTGGGAAAGCCTAGCAACAGAGGGTCAGACCTTGTCAATCAAAACACAGGGAGCGACTAACGGATGAGCCCCACCCTGGTGTCTTGGGGTTGGACTTGACACACGTTGGAGGGGTCCTGGAATCCTGATCGCAGTCTTTGACTTTGGAGACTGAAGGAAGGCCTTGGGCAGGGACGTGCACAGACATTTGGAGGGACTATTGCTCTAAACTGGAAAAAGGGCCTCCCCCCTGAAAAAAAATATAAGACCAAAACGATTATTACATTAACTAATTTGAACAGTAATTCACATCATCATCTCATAACAAAATAAGCTAAGGCAACTACTTGCATTCGGTGACTTGATTTTTTAAATGAAAACCAGGGACATTTTTGGTTTTGCGGTCCATATCTCATTAAAATATCTAATGTTAGTAACTACTAAAGAAAAAATGGGGACAATTCAATGTAGTTTGACTATTGCAGACATACTGATAAAATAGGGCTTCTATAATTACCTTAAATAAACTCACTAATTAATGAAACCAGTTCAATACGCATTATTCTTATCATTCTTTATGAGCACAGTAATGTGTAAGGTATCTAATTACTTATTTATTTAGTATTCCATAACATAATAACAGAGATGGTCAAATTAAAGTAGAGACATGGCAAAAATCCTACAATGAAGCGGGCAGTGAAGTGTTCTCTGAGAGAGGGCGATCAAGAGAAGAGAGAGGGGGCGATCTAGAGAAGAGAGCGAGCGGCCCAGTCGAGGGAGTTCACCATGCGGGCAATTACATGTAAGAAGAAGGAGAAGAAGAAGAAGTAGTAGTAGAATCTCAATCTCAATCTTTATTTATTTATATAGCACATTTAAAACAACCTTCAGTTGACCAAAGTGCTGTACAGGCAGTAACTACAATATTAAATAACACAATGGGAGAATTAAAAAGATAATAAAAAGCACAATAACTAGAAACATATAAAAAATAAATAATTAAAAAACACATACAAATATAAAAATGTAATGTTCAACTAGTATTAAAAGCCAGTGCAAAGAGGTGAGTTTTTAGCTGAGATTTAAAAAGTTCAATAGACTCAGCAGTCCGGATATGTGCTGGGAGGCTGTTCCACAGTCTGGGAGCTGCAACACTGAAGGCCCTGTCACCTCTGGTTTTTTTCCTGCTCCGAGGAACCACCAACATATTCTGCTGAGCTGAGCGCAATGCTCTAGCTGGAGCATGGCGGTGCAACAACTCAGACAGGTAATGTGGTGCCAGTCCATGCAATGATTTAAAAACAACAAGTAAGTACTTGAACTGGATCCTGTAACTGACAGGAAGCCAATGAAGGTCTGCCAAAACGGGTGTGATGTGGTCATAACGTCTCTTCCCAGTAAGAAGGCGTGCAGCCGCATTTTGGACCAGCTGCAGGCGACGGATCAAACACTTGTCAACACCAATATAGAGGGAGTTACAATAGTCTAAACGAGACGTTATAAATAAGTGGATTAGCTGTTCAAATTCCTTACTAGGAAGATAGGCTTTTACCTTCCCCAGAAGCCACAGCTGGAAGAAGCTTGTCTTGACAACTGAGCTTATCTGTTTATCAAATTGAAAACAGTTGTCAAAGATGACTCCAAGATTTCTGACAGAGGGACGGCTATAGGAGGCTAAGGGGCCGAGTACACTATTAAAGCCATCCAGGAGTTCAGACTGTCCAAATATGATAATCTCTGTCTTGTTTTCGTTAAGAGTCAAGAAGTTGATTTCCATCCATGATTTTATGTCTTTCAGACAGCTAAGCAAGGCAATCCTAGATTCCTTATTTGCTTTTATAGGCAGGTATACCTGCAGATCATCTGCAAAGCAATGGTAAGAAATGTTATGCTTTTTAAAAATTGACCCCAGAGGTAGTAAATACAGACTGAACAAAATGGGGCCTAGGATAGAGCCTTGTGGGACCCCATATGCTAGTGGGGCTGCAGCTGAAGAATACTGGCCAAGATGCACAGAAAGGTCCTTTCTGACAGATAGGATTGAAATCATTTTAGGACATTACCTTTAATACCAACACACAGTTCAAGGCGTGATAAAATAATTTGGTGGTCAATAGTGTCAAAAGCAGCAGACAAATCTAAAAGCACAAGCACAGCAGAATTCCCAGAATCAGCAGTTAAAAAAAGATCATTCAAAACTCTTAGAAGAGCAGTTTCCGTGCTGTGGCGTGATTTAAAACCAGACTGAAACTTCTCTGATATGCAGTTTAAAACAAGGTGTGATTGCAGTTGTGCTAAAACCACTTTCTCTAGGACTTTAGACAGGAAGGGAAGCTTAGAAATAGGTCTAAAGTTGGAGAGAACAGAATGATCAAGGTTTTCTATAGAAGAAGAATTAAGCTGGTGTGTTTCCCGCAGCGAGACACTACAATACTAATTGTGGGCTTATCATGTTGATTCGACCACAACAGAAAAAAAATAATAAACTCTCGCTCTCTCCAGAGGGGCAGGTCAGCCAAAAAGGGGAAACGGGCCGTTGCCCGGGCAACAATAGCCCGTACCTGTGCACGTCCCTGGCCTTGGGGATAAGGAAAGCAACGCTGCCACTATGCATGAGTTAGCAGTTTAATATAATGGCCTTACAATCAATCTTGTGAAACTTAAATATTGACTATGTGTCAGAGAAATTGTAAATTACTTCAATGGAAATTGTTGAGGTTTTAGTTCAATGTTTGTGGCATTGGACTGCTTTGAATATAGATTTTTCAAACATGTTGACCCCTGCACGTATGTTAATCATAATAGGGGCCACAAGATCACATGGCTCACAAGCTAATGTGAGCTCAAAAGAGCGACACAAGGTTCATTTGATCACTATCATGGAAAGAAGAGAGCCGTGTAGGGAGTGCAGCACTGATGGAGACGCGGCAGGGTGAATCCCCTCAACTGGTTTCTAAACTTCTGATTGAGTCTATGTTTTGGGCAAGAAGCCAGACATCTAGCAAGCGTTAGACTAACTTCCTTTTATCACATTAGAGCAGCAGACAAGACCCAACTGGGAACTGCGACTTTAATGATAAACATTGGTCTGTCCCTCACACAAAAACAGCATGTGATTCCCTGGGTTTCTCAGAAATGGGGGATTTGTTGTCAGGAAAGCAGCAAACTAATGCAATAAGCCTAATAAGAACAAATGTATTTGGAATCTGGCCCGAATTTCCTGCAGAAGTGTCAATCTCCGAGTCAAGGCTCCACTTCTGAGGTGCAGCTATCAGAGCCTTTACAAAAGGAGGTTGTGTTGAGTGTGGCAGATAAGACAAAAAAGACGCAGAATCTAATTAAACACAAAGGCTCCGACTACAATCACATCATGTGGTCTAAATGTGTCCAAAGAGTGACCAGTGGATCTCTAAGATGAACTCTGCCATGAACTATGACCCCTGCTACGGCCCCTCTTTGGTGAGATCACTGCGAAGGGCCTAATACTTTGTGAGATAATGCAGTAATCTGGACCACAAGAAGCTTGTCTTCCTCGAGAAAGGTTATTTGAAAGAGTGAAATACAGCGGGATTAGCAACTTCAAAAACGGTCTGTCTGCAAATCCCACCATCATTGCCTTTCTCTAAAACACCATCTTTAAAGAACAATCAGCAGAACCCTGAAGGATTAATGAACCTTACATGTTTGTTTATCAAATTCATGAGCGCTCCTATTTTGTCATTTGCTCGGACTCATTTGAAGCAATACTCTGTGCAACTGTTGGAAAGACAGGTTTGATAAAGGGCCACATTCTAGAGGAAGTTAGTCCTTTCATACACACTAAAGTGGGCCAGCACTGCTTTGTTCCCCGTCTTGCTTTTTAGGGATATGAACAGAGGCTGAATGAGAGGCGGCAAGGAGTGCTACTTAATACCAAATCCTTTATTGTGCCATCTTTTGTGCGCTGTCACACGGTGAATGAATAGGACGGAATCTTCCTGCAGGCTAAGCTCAACTTCTCTATCCTAATTCCCCCCACTGCCAATCTGACAGTCATGAGCTGTGAGGAGAAAAAAGGGAAATCATTGGAGACCCAAGCTGCTCACAGGTCAACATCAGAAAATTCCTTCATATGTTCTGTCTGCAAATAAACACTCAAACCCATCGACAGCTCCTTTTGGTTTTTGGAGCTCTGGTCTTTATCACTCTCAGTTCCCAAAACACTCTCTACCTTCCCTTATCTCTCTCCCAGACCCGGCTCTTCGTCCTCCCGTCTGTACTGCTCCATGTTGGGCACGGGGCCCAAACCCTGCGAGCAGCTTCACCCGCCTCCCCACCTCGCTGCCCTTTGCCATTACTATCGCGCCGTATAAGAAGCAGACCTTCTCGGACTGCACTTAGCTCAGAGGCTAACACTAACCAGCCGCAGATGTTTACATTGGGAGAGAAGGGGCAGCAGATGCGGTCTCACTCAATAAAACTTGCATCTCTCCCTTTGTCTCTCTCTTTTTCTGACGTTCTCTCCCTCTTTCTGCAAGTCTGCAAAGAACCCGGGGGAGCTCTTTAGATCTGTGGGTGTGACAATCTTGCTCTCCGGCTTTATTTGTCTCATTCCCAGCACTCTCTCTTTGCTGTGAGTCACCTGGGTTTCCCCTTTTGATATAAATAAGAAAAAGACAGTTCACTTTCCAATTTTTCCAACTGCCAGATACTGAGCGGTGAAGCTTGAGATTTGATTATTTTAAAAGCGAAGGTTATTTACAGATAGTTTCGGGAAGTGTTTTGTCTGCCAAGCTCCCTTTATTCAGGTGAATGTTAGCACACCTGAGTCCTCCTTATTTGAAAATAGAAAGAGACACAACCCAGGAGAGGAATTCCAGCAGCAAGAACAGACAGGAATATCTCCAGGTAACACACAGCAAACAAAACTCAGGAAGACACATCCTTAAGAAATTGATAATTGATAGACTGAGAGAAATAGCAGGCTGAGAAGTGTTTGGCCTCATTATGAAAAATGAATTATGTACAGCAATGTAGGGCAGTGCTGAGATGAAAGGGAGTTTCTTTTTGAAATCCTTGTCACAGTCTTTTGTGAAAGATTCCCCAAGTTGGAAAGTGTCAAAATGTTTCTGCGATGATTTTGTACAGAGGCAGGATGTGTGGTCCGATTTGAGCTCATCTACAGAGTGACAACACTAAACAGCACGTAAACCTCTGACATTAAACTGCTCTGTGATATCTCCGTTTTTGTATTCTTAAAAACACTTTTGTCTCAACCTACTGCATTAGATGGTTAGAAAGTCAGCAGTGCATATTGCTAATAGAAGGCAGACTGCAGGGCTCTGCTTCAGTAATGTCCTGGCAGACAGCGAGCGCTTCAGTGGATCAGGGCTTTAGCCTGTAGGCCCTTTTCGGGAGGTCTGAGAAGTGGCAGGTCACTATATCGTCTAAGCCTACTTAAGAAGGAGCATACCACCACCTCCTGCAGTTTCACAGACCAGGGAGAGAGCTGCTTTGAAAACATTCTAGGAAAAAGAATCGCTTAACATCCGACTAAACATGGCATGGCGAATCCAAGAACATAACCCATAACTGCTCCAACGATACTTGCTCTCTGTGCAAGCCAGATAACAACAATTTCAATATGAGCAAAAAAAATCTCTGTGCAGTTTTATTTTATTAAAAAACATGGTGGTATGTATTGGTGTTTGTTCTGCGATAGAGGAGCTTCGGGTAGCGTCTTGAATGCTTTTGTTTTAGACTGATCCCTACTTGTTTGTGGTCAGTTGGTTAAGCGTGGTCGAGGCTGTGTGCATTTTCTCAGGCAGAGTAACACAACAGTATCATTAAGTGCCCAGTGGGAAGGAACCCTCCGTGACCCTCAGGGGGTTTTACTCTCCCACAACCAGCTGAGGGGGGTGGTGGGGCAGCCTGTATGCAGGCATGCATATGAAACAAATAAAGGGAGTGAATGCAATATCTGGTCAACGAGGCACACATGGCATTACAGAGGATGTTAGAGATCAGTGCAAATGTCTGCAGCCCTCATCCAAAACTCTCAATAAATGAAACATCAACAAAAGAGAGACCAGCGGCTTTTCCTGCACTTAACAAAAACATCTGATGTGCATTATTCCTGACAGAGCCTCAGACTGAGGATGAACAGCTTGGCTTTTTAATAGAATGAGGTTCCTCTGCTCTGCATGGCTGGTCCATTAACAAAACGCACTGAGCGAGGCAGTCAGTTGAGATTCGCAAAAGGTGACCAGAAACTCTGAATAACGTGTTCTAAACGGATGAATAACAACATCAGAATGTGGAGGCCACACAGTTATACCATGTGTCTGTACTTCCCTCTAGTGGCCAAATAATTGGCTACTGAGAAGATCAAAACTAAGAATAATGGCAACATGCAAGGCGTTGGAAAACAAGAAGCACGCAATTATCCCTGTGTTTCATTTTTCCCCGACTGCACAACAGCTGGTTTAAAATAGACCATAATAGCTCACACCACTTTAGAACAAGTGTCTGTAGTTATTTATAGTATAGTAATTCAAATTCTATCTAAAACTGTTGTTTGTGACAGCTGGCTAAACAAGCTGGAAAGCTTTAATCAAATGCACGTTCATTTTTTTTTTTCTTGTGTGCATTTTGTGGAGAAACGTTATGTTATCCCACGAGTTATTATGAAACTATGGTTGCGTTCCAATAGTCAATTTAGCTTGGGAACCTTCCTAACCAAGTGAAATGACCCGGAAGTACGTCACTGGCAGCCATGTTAAGTGCCGTTCCAATTCTCTAAATGAAAGGAAAGGAGGTTTCAAACTTCCTTTATAACCTCCTTTAGCTTAGGAACCACTGGACCTCCCTAACCGAAAGGAGAGGAGAAAATGCTGCCCCACAATGCATTGCAGCCGCAGCATTTGCCGTCACACAACAGTCAACAAACGATTATGACGGAGAAATTATATCATGAAAGTTACGGTGCTTATTAAGCATTTTAAAACAAATGTGGTAAGTTGCCAAAGTGCTTTTTTCTGAACGTTCATCAGTATTATAATCAAAAAGAGAAATATGAACGTTAGTTTTTACTGAAATGATCAAATAAAGTCAACATCTCACAGTCTTTACTGAGCTGTGTGGGGTTTGTTCAACTTTTAAAAGATGTTTGAATGGTGATATACACAGTGATAGATGTTAAGGACTAACGTTTATAATAAATACATTTATGATTTTAAGATATTTTCATACAATCATACATATTGGGATCATTTGTATTAATGTGGACCGGAGGGAGAGGGTGACGAGCATAAGTTTCACTTTCCTTTTTTATTTAAATTCCAACTTTGGTCATGAAGAATATGTTTCTCTGTTGTCCACGTTCATAAAGCATAAAACAACAGCATCAGAGCACGGTGCAGAGTCTCTAGATGAGTTTACAGTAGTCCCTCCTTCTTATTAAACATCCATGTTGTAGTCCGCTATAGAAAACTGTAGTTTCCATAGTTCCCCCACAGCAGCAGACGCACATTCATGACGTCCGCTGGCGCATCATAAACACGTCGGATAGTGAAAGTGCATTCGGATTCTCTAAAGTACCGCGGTCTCTTCTCCTAAGTCCTTTTGAATTCTCCTATCCACTATCCCTTAACCCCGTGACGTTTCACTCAGAGGTCAGGAAATAGGAGATAGGGTTAGAATTTAGGAGCTGATTTTTGGATTATCGGAACGCAACCCATGAAAATATCTTAAATGCTTCTTTGCTTAGAAATAACAAATTTCCAAATATGAAATAAGAAATATACATGTTCCCAAGATACTAAAGAATATGATTCACTTGTGCTTATAAAATTAAAATTAAAACTTCTCAACGTGAAAGTTATACAGAACTTCAAACTCAAACAAATAAATGTTAAGTCAAACACAGCAGGCTCAAAAAACAAATGTAAAGCATTGCATTTTATACAGTATATTACTTAAAGACAACACTACAGCACAAGCGATTGTATGCTGAATATATTTGTTTCACTTACCTTAATAACAAACTTGAGGGGAGTCATTGCAGTGAACACAGCAGCCAGCTTGTTAAACCTGAAACAAGTGTATAAAGCCATACATTACACATAGTAGCCTAAAAACAACACACAATACTGGTAGGCTGGTTTTAGTACATTCCTCAATAGAAAATAATTGTGACTGCATTATCATAGACAGACACTCATGGTATGTTGGTACTCCACAGTTAACCTACCTTACCTCACTCTACACTTAAAAAACTCTGTTGACTTTAATTAAATGTAAATTATGTCCACAGATTTCACAGAACTGAATTAAGTTAGTTGAACGCAATATTATTAAATTTACATTTAAAAAAAATGAATATTATTGCTGTCAACTTAACTATTACAGTTCTGTGAAATCTGTTAACATAATACATGTAATCAAAGTCAACGTTTCAGTTGTTTCCGTGTATAATTCATGTTTTGCAAAGATAATTTGTAGGTTTGTTATAATAGTAACTTCAGCATAAGGGTTCTCTAAAACACAATACACTGCCATGTTTCTAACAGTAACCTAAACAGGTTGCTTATTTTAATTTATTTAAGCTTTTATTTAAAGCTTAAGTGTCCTTATTTGTTGGATAATAAGGACACATATCATAATGTACATATAATCACATTAACATAACAATCAACATAATCATTTTGTATTAAATAATACATCCCATATATCCTGATATTTGAAGTTTGTTAAATAAATAAAAAAGGCAAATATTTACTTTTTTTATTTAACAAATTATCTCAGACGTGTTCATATCTTTCCTGTCTTGTTATTTACCATATTGATCATCAAGTATGCGCATTATCCAGCCATCAGTTCAAACCAGTCAGTTGTGAATAATATTTCCAGCAGCAGTGATAGCCAGATTCTGCTTTAGATAGTTCTAGTGTTAAGGATACTCTCCCAGTAGACAACATTGGGGACATGCTGGTGAGGATCTTTAAAACAATTCACCAAATATTCAAAACATCTCTTTCCAGAAAGGAAAAATCCAGAATATTAGCAATTATTAGCTAACACTGCTGGTTTACATATTTTACCTTCATTTTTCTAATATGATTTATACCTTAGACTACAAAGTTTCGTCCAATTTATCTGAAATCAAGCTAAAGCACTTAAGCCTCAGAATGATTGGAAGTTACAGGGTTAGTTAGTGGAAACGTAACGTAAAGATCTATAGAGTTAATTCACTCCGTACGGTCGCACAGCTGGAATACAAGAACAATCATTATTTACGTTACTAAGTAACACCTTAATGCTTCCAACCAATGCTAGTATTAACAAAGTGTCAAGTTAATGCAAAGACAAAGATGGAATCAAACACATTTCCTTGGTAATACATTCTGTAAGTTAATCAAAATTAGGAAAAGATCACTTTCATACCGCCACCAATTTTGAATGTTTGTCAAACGATGATGACGTCACACCATCGTTTGTAGTCCAACTACTGCAAAACCAGTCGGACTTGGAGCTTGACTTTTGGTTAAGAATACACCGTGAAATGTAAGTAAGGTAGCAAGGTAACTATCTTTTCTCTTTTATAAAGTAGGTTAGTGTAAATGTATAAAGTTAAGGTTTATGTTTCCAAACTGACGGGAGAATGCGACTAGGACCCCTTTAGGACCTCAGGCTCTGTGCGCTACCATGGTAACAAGTTGCGTATTGAGAGAGCCTGTATGCAACTTTTGGTTTTAGATTGTCAAACTTGTGTCTGAATAGTATTTTCTTTCACATATTATAGTCCCTTTATCATCTAATACACATTTTATATTGCTTTATTGTGCTATATAAAGGGTGTATTCCCAAATGTGTCTAGTTTAGGGCAGGCAATACAAATAGCTTCACTATACCGAAGCAAATGTGATTCTGAAATATTAAGTTGTCGAGGATGTTCATAATGTTAGCCTGCTCTGATTGAGAATTTGCAGCTAGGACATGTCTCGACTCTCCAAGAAATCTCCATCTCTGTGTACGGATCTACCTCTGGACAACGCGGATATTTGTAAAAAGCTTGATTTGCTGAGGCAGCTCCTGAGATCTTGTTTTGGTCCGACAGGTAGACTAAAACAAGTCCACAACAACATCGGGGGGCACGTAGTGACCACCTCAACCTCCTCAGTTCTCCTTCCAGCCATTTCCTCCTCACAGCCTTTCATCAATCTGATAAAAACCTCCATTCTCAACCACGTTTCTCGTTTCAGTGACTGTGGTTTGTTCGCTGCCATTCTTTGTTTGTCTCTTATTGAGCAGGCAAAGCAGTCTGGTCTCAGAGGAAATGTGGCCATCAGAGTGAACAAGCACTTGCTGGGTCTGTGCACCAGTTACCTGCAAGGAGAAGACTGTGGTTGTAAAGTGAAGCTCGACTTCTGCAGCAGCCAGAGCTTGATCACATTGGCCCGCAGTGTTATCTCCAGCAAACCAACATGTGTGCTAACAGAGCCAGAGACCCTTCACATCAGCAGGTTGGCTGTACAGGCTTTTTTGCTGACTGTTCCCTGCAGCAGCCCAGGTATAGTCAGTCTTGGCAAAATAGTGACTGTGTCTGTTGAAGGCCATGGTGTGCTCAACTCAACAGTGTTTCCAGGTGTATTGCTGGACATGCCTGATGTCTTTACTATAGATAAAGTAGAGAACCTGCCTTCAGATGCACTGCGCATGGTGTTGTTCAGTGCTTCCCTTGCTGGGGACCTTTCTGAACTGGGAGATGGGATCATCGAGGTGCATCCAGGTGTAGACACTGACTCACAGATACTGGATCAGCTCCTGGAGCTCGGCAAACAGGTGGTTAAAGATGAGGTGAAGCTTTTTGTGTGCCAGAAGGTCATTCACCCAGTTCTGCAGCAATACCTGAGGGGTCATGGTATCATAGTGATAGAAAGACTGGGAATCACTCTCATGGAGCCCCTTACTCAGCTCACAGGTAGGTGCCATACTTTATTTGAAAGGAATATCATTTTTAGAGCTGAAACTATTTGTAGAAAAACACATTTATAGTCATAATATATCTTCAATAGATGGATGCTTTAATTAAGCACTTGAACAAGTAGATGCATTATTTTATATGCGTGTTTGAAAATATGTTATCTAAATTTGAAACTTCTTAAATGCTACTTAATGTTATGAGATTCCTGCATTCCTTCGGGTGTGATATTGTGGATGAACATATGTAAAGTGTACTGTCCGGTATATATTCTACTGTTACTTTGGAGTGTTTGAGGTCCTCTTCACATTTTGTCCACTTTAACCAACAGGGGCTCAACCCGTGGCCACATTGCACACCACCATCCCAGCCAAGGCCTACGGGAGGGTGAGGGATCTAAGGATCAGGACATTTGGATCCAAGACAATGCTGCATTTACATCCTCCTGGAGAGTGTGCGATCTGCACAATGATACTCTGCCACAGGAACGAGACCATGCTCAGTGAGCTGAAGGTAAGATACAGTAGAGAGAGAGAACTTTTCAGTCATTAACGCACAAGAAGAGCAAACCAACTGTCTGTTATATTACTCCTAACATCAGATGGATCTCACGCCCACTAAGACTTGCAATCTCATCTAGATATTATTCCGTAAATCAAAAATATGATTTAACCAATACAGCCCCATAAAGCCCATTGATGTGGAGTGTTTTCCTACCACAGCCAGGGGGAACGATTTAATTCTTCCACAGCACTATTGTGAAAAGCATCCATCAACTGGGCATAGATTATTTTTATAGGGTCATTTAAAAACAAATAATAATTGCATTTACGACATTGGCTTGGAATAATAATATGGTAATAACAATACAATTTGTCTGTATAGCACTTATTAAAACCATCATTACAAAGTGTTTTACAGCGACCACATAAAACACAACAATAAAATGCAAAATACTGTCGTAAAATACTAAAAGAAACAGGGAAAGGAAGAACAAACGAAAAACCAACAGATGATAACACAAACAGCGTTACTCAATAATTCAGAATAGAACATAAACCTGAAAATGGTGAGAAAGCGTTTCAATAAAAATAGGTATTTGAAAGAAAATATGTCTATTAATATGAAGCAAGTTTAACCAATGAACTGATGTGTTCATTTCCATTCGTCTGTCAAAGGTGGTGTGCCAGAAAACAGAGCATGTGTTGAGGCTCACCCTCAGAGAACCATCTGCTTTACTTGGGGGTGGGTGTACAGAGACCCACTTAGCTGCTTACATCAGACACAAGGTAAGAACCAAACTTGTATTTAATCTAATTACAAATGGTCACTGTGTTCTGATTCAAACATGTCTTAATAATGACATATTTTCATCTCAGAGCATGAATGAAATCCCAGAGACAGTATCTGCGCTAGGCTGCTCACAGACGGAGTGTCTCCTCGGCGTGGAGGGATTCTGTCGCTCTCTGGAGGCTGTTGCCGCGGCGCTGGAGCACGATGGTGGGAGTTCTTTAATGGATCTCACTCATGCCCACCACTGGTCTCACCCTGCAGATGTCCTGACAGAACACATGGGGGATAGCTTGGGCTCCTGTGGCTGTGGACTTGTGGAAAGTAGCCCAAATCAGAAGTGGACTTATTTAAACTCTAAATACCCACAGTTCTCACCTGCACCTCTGTCTGAAGACGCTTCTGTGCAGCCACGTGTGCTTGACTCCTTCACGGCTAAACTCAATGCATTGCAAGTTGCTGTAGAAACTGCTAATCTTGCACTGGATGTGCGATATCTAATTCAGGATGTGAACTAGCAGAACAAGTATATTATCCATTGTGCAACTCTGGTTTCTGATCATGATGAGGAATGAATGGGGTTTTATATTTAAATATATATATACATATAGCCTACATTGTGACACTAGATGTAAGCATTGCCTTGAGTGAAAATCTGATTGAAACCAGGCATCAGTTAGTGGAAATGTGTTGCATCATCTGTGGACTTGCTATCCTACTTGTCAGCAATATCAATAATAAACACTGATGTATACTATTAATGTGAAACGAAAACCGTAATGATTCTGGATTTCCGTAAGAACGCAGCCCCACACGTCCCCATCACCCCGTGTGACTCTTCAGTCGGTCTTATTGTTGCATCAGCTGAAGAAGTACAAACTGCCGAAGTAATTGATGGTGAACTCCAACACTGCCATCAAGTCCATTCTCATCTATTTCATTATAGTTTGTCAGTGTTATTGTATTTCCTTTTTTGTTTATTTATATTTCCTGTTTACATTTCTCCTCCTTTTTAAAAATGTTTTTTTAAATGGTTCTATATTTGCTCCTATCTTAAAAATGTCTTCCTCTTACTGTTTATTTATGGACCATTATACCAAAGCAAATGACTTGTATTTGAAAGATACTTGGCAATAAAACTGATCCTGGTTAGTTTAAGCTGACACATACATTTGCCTTATTTCTATACATACAGTAGCATATGATATGCAATACTATCTGGTATTTTTTTAATTAATTTTTTTAGATGGAGGTACAATGTGTATTTTACTATTCCCTGAACCATCTGGCTCTCTCTGGTGGTGACTTTTCTAACTGTCTCCACACTAAATGGACACACGAAACATAGTGAATATCTACATGAGAAGTAGTATATGTAGCACAGCACTGTAAATGTACTATCATCCAACGTTAAAAACTGCAGTTTACACGCTAACTAACCCTCAACACTTTATCTGCTGTAGAGCTAACAATAGAAGGCTGAAGAGGCTACTAATCCATTGCGACTTCGGATAGATCATAACAAATAAAATGCATGGAAAGGTTAGTACTGTAAATACTTGAAGAACAAGACACCAGAGCAGACATGCTTTTCAGTACATTTTACTTGTTTTGTAACATGAATCCAAGGCCTTATCTGAAGAGCCTTTTGGGATGCTTTGTCAGTGGAACCTGAGATCAAAAAACTCCATGTAGGGAGTGGTATATTTTAGGTTGGTGACGTGTAAGATCCCATTCTCTAAGCAAGAAAAACTATTATACACAAAACCATTCCTAAAAGACAAACAAATATCCATAAACAGAAAATAAACAGTGTTGAGGTTCAGCCTTTTGTCTCTACGGGAATGAGGTGAGTTGGAGAACAGAAACACCATACCCTGCTGGAGAATAAAGATAACAGCTGGTGCCATTTTAGACCAACAGATGAGGGGGGGCAGGTCACACACACTCCTGGAGTGCCAGGCGGGTTACCTGGAGATATTGTTGGGCACGAGGCAGGGGTACATGTAGAAGAACAAAAAACTCAAAGTACACCTACTACAATAAGACTAAAAGTGAGAATACACTTTATATGTTTACAACAGTGATAAAAGGCACAATAGCACAGTGTGTCATGCTTTACTAGTTTCCCTTAAATTAGCGTCAGAAGTTAAGTGAGTCTGAGCATTTCATCTTTCAGTCTGTGACCACTTGGTTGAACAAGACATTGTAGCTTAATGCGTCAGAGATAATCAAATATCCATATCATATTGTCATTAAAGCCTATACTGCCACTATGGATCATGAGGTGTTAGCATTCAGAATATGTATGCCGTTTGTTAATCTATGAAAAATATTTGAGCATTTTATATTAAAAAGGAAATACATATTTTATTTTTTTGTTAATAATTGTTATCATTTTGTAAATTACATTTTTTTTTATATCTAGGAGCAATGTGTGTCTCTTTCTAGGTTATGTTAAACCTTGTAGCAAAGTATGCTAATGCTATGCTATGCGCTAATCTTGAAACTGGGCCACCCATTGCTCGTCATAGCCAACCTTGTCTATGTGATGCTGGAAACAAACATAAATAAGGATGGCTTATATATTCTCAATAAGGTTTGGCATTCTTAGATCAAAACGTATTAACAAAGAGTTGTAAATGAATACCAAATGAACCGATCTTTTACATTTTCAAACTATTCTAGCAGATCATCGAGTCCTTAACCACTTTGGTCGGGGTAAAGCATACGTTTAGCTGCTCTCACAGAATGGCATGTGTAACAAAGGACATTTTCTAGATACCTAGCTAAAAATAAAACTAACGCTTGAGTCTTCTGACAGTTCAATAACAGAGATTCAAGGTGGCAGTGTAAACAAAGAGTAGAGGTGTCAGTGTTGGAGTGATTTACACGATATCCAGCTTAGATTACATTTCTGTAGCACAACTGGAGTCTGAAAAACATATCTATAATGCTACAGGTATAGAATTGGAATCTGGAAGCAGTGTTGCACACAATAATTTATTGGGCAAGCCATATACGAGCCTAAGTAACAACACTGCTTTTGTTCAAATCTACACACTACTCGAGTAAATACGTTCACGTCTAATGAAAATATAAAAGGTAGGGAGAAATAAAAGGAATAAAATATGAGTAAAGAAAAAAATAATAAAAGAGTAATAAATGTTTTTGGTATGTACAGTAGGGAGTTAGCAACATTTGGTGGGTGCAGCCCTTTGTTAGCAACTACAACATATGTTAAGGATTGGTAGTAATTACCAATGAAACTGTTTTAAGTGTCATGTGTCTTGCAGCAGTCAGTCAAAACACCCATTTCTTTTTTATCCGGCAAAATTGCAATATGCTCCGTTAAGATCTGCCGTTTTATTTTCATTCCTTTCTGGAGGCAAATTACATATGCACAGATCGAGAGGCAAAATGTAAAGATTGCATTATTACAACTCACTTCGAAACCCAAGTAAGATTTCCCCTTCCCAACGCTAACTCTGAGCCAAATTATTACGCTCTCTCCCATTTCCTCCAATCAATTAGGCCTACATAATCTCAAAACTGCACTTCAAGGAGATAGGCGGAGGAGAGGGAGAGACAGAGAAAGAAGACTGTATTGGCTTTGAGTGTCTAGGTCCTTCCTGCAAAGGGGTGGGCGTAACTGGGGTTGGGGTATCTGGGTCAGATTATGGCGATAGATAGTAAGGGGCAGGGCGACAACGCTGCGGTGGCCCCTGCAAAAGTCGACCTCAATGAGCGATGAGGGCCCCGGCAGCGTAACTCACGGAGCTGTCCTGCCAGTTCCTGCACTCGCTGGATTGGGCGTAGTTCAGGAAAGAGAAGTTCATTTCCGAGCCAGACTTCCTCAGCTCAGCAACAGCCTGCAAAACAGCAACATTAGCACGTCAGGCAATAAGGATACAATGCGTCATTCTCTTGATAAACAATCATTTAGTTATTTAACAGTTCTCCAGGGCCAAATGACTGATAACTAAAGCACTGCCCCAAATATTTATTGTCCAATCCTTTCAAGATTTGATTTCTCCACGTTGAAACGATGTGTCTGCAGTAAGAATATACTCTTCATATTAAGAGGTCGGAGTCTTAAAAGCAAGTATTTCATGTTTTCACAGTTGTAATTTATGCAAGCAAGTAGCAGTCAATTGAACCCCCATCCAAAGACCTACATAATGTTAAATAGTGATACACCTGTTAAGGCTCTTCTTCTGTGGTACTTACATTTAGAAGCACTCCAATCGGGTGCCGCCCACAGATGGTGTTCCGGTACTTCTTCAAGTAGTTGGTGAAAGACATTGGATCCAGCGTTTCTATAATGCCCATCCCCTTCACAAGCACAGAAGAAAGGTCATCTTTTGATTTGTTTTGTTGTTAATGAATCATGTATGCAATACTGTATCATTTTTGTTCTGTGTGCTGTGTGTTCAAGAAAACACACTTCATGATCGAGAGAAAACAAAACAGAAGTCTATGTCCATGTACCTTCTGACCTTCTGTGTAATGACTTTTTTTTATTTGTAATCATCACATTGGAATTGAATATGGCTTAGTGGTTACCATTTTATCAAGATGCTCAATGGACCTGTGGATCTCTCCTTGAGATTCATCATAGTATGTGTAGCGGAACCGTTGACCTGAAAAAACAAACATAGCATCAGTATCATGTCACAGCTATGACATTTAGGCAGAATTATCTTCAGATGACAAACCATACTCCTTTAAATGCAGAATAATATATGATAATATAAAATGAATGTATATTTCAGTGCTTAAATTTGTCAGCACCTACCCCAGTGGCAGAAGTCGGATGAGATAATGAAAAGGTTGGAAGGGTCTGCCAGGTACTTGCTGAGCAGTTTCCCATATTCCTGCTCCTTGGATTCGCTCAGGGCTCCCACGAGCACAGGCACGATGCTAAACTCATCTTTGTGGCTGCAACATCACAATATTGAATTAAAAACTTGTCAACAATATCTGCACCTCACTGTCAAAGGTCTCTCCTATGGCCATGGGTGGAAATCAAATCTGCATTAATACAGGTTTATTTTTCATCCATTATTGAGACTAATGAGTAAATGCTAATCTTTTTACTTTCATAACACCCGATCCCTGCTTTAGTAAACCAAGAAAATGCCTCTGACTCCTGCCAGCCCTGACAGAAGGCTGTATCAATTATGCACATCACACTTTCCAGGTGTCACTGAACCAATGTGATTCTGAATGCCAGTACGTTTTGAATGACAATGAAAGAATGAACAGAACTACACATTCAGGTTTTCGACTGATCCAGGTGACACAAACATGACAAAATATGCTGCAATGCGCTAGCAAAGACAAGAAAGGAGACTGCAGGCAAGTTAACATGGACGTAATTATGCAAGACTTAAAAACTGGCTTTGCAAATATGACAGCTAATTAGGGCAATGTTTAGGCACAAAAAAACAATTACAGAGTCACGCAAGGAGGGTGATATTCTGGGGGAAAAAACTATAAATGTACCACTTCTTTTTGTAATTCTGCAAGGGGAAAAAAACACCAAGTCTAGTAGAAAAAAAGAAATATTCTCTTAAGTTATAAAGGGAAAACAATTGAGTTAATTTCCAAAAGTTGGATCCATCTCATCATTCTACAGATTCAGACGGTATATAGGGATGGCATAAGCCCACATAAGTGAAGAGGTGTAACAGTATGGACAAAATCATTTTATCCAAATCAATGTTGTTTTTTTCAAAATGGGCCTAATTCACAGTATTTTCAAAGCCTCTGTAATTATTCTTGATTGTACCTACAATGGCCCAAATTACACCTTAGTATAGCAAATGATTTAGGAGGAAGTAAATGCATTCAAATCATTTGTTAGAGCTCAAGAATACACCCAATGTGTTTTGTTGAGAAACACTGAATGTAAAAAAACGTGACCCTGGTCTCTGCAAATGCAGTGTTGATTCTTTGGTTTCAATGAATGCCACTCCTATGTGCATTACCTCTCCATGGCTTTAGCAGTGTAAGGCAAGTGCATTTCAATACTGTGCTCATCTTCATCTGTCTGCAGACTCATCCGCTCAAACAACCCAGTTTTCCAGAGGTCAGCATAAACTGTAAAACAGAGGTAAGTTTCACTTTAATTTGTGCATGTTATAACGACCATGTCTACTGATCAAGTCATTGTTTTGAGCCGCACACAAAATTACCGTAGGTATAAGAGTCTAGCTTAAAAAAAACCTGATTATTGAAACCCTTTATCTTAAGTGAGGGAACTGCCTGGATGATCCAAAAAAAAAATTTCACCTCCAAAGGTCTACACTTTGCTTAGGTCAGCTCGACTACATTCTACACTTGACAAACCTGAACTGTGTCTATTCTTCCTACTACATGACCTTATAAATACCTTCCTATATAATGAACCTGTTAGCATGTGTTAACATTTGAGGTTGAGCAACAAACACGCACACAAAAAACAGTCACAGTTACAAATTCAGGAGTGAAAACGTTGAATACCCTTCTGGTCGATTCTCAGGTCATAGAGAGGTGTTCTATAGATCTCTGCCGGTGACAGGGCACAGCGGGAGAGGGGCACATGGTGTGAAGGTCCCAGGATGAACACCCTACGACTGAAGGGCAACAGGATTTTATCTCACTCACTCTATTCACAAAAGGCACACCACCAGCACCATATTTTCTTCTATCTAAACTCAAATCTGTTCACTCTTCTGAGGGAAATGTAAGATAAGACAAAGCCTTTTTTAAATGCAAGGAGAAAAAGAGATGAAAACCGAATGACTTACGTAACAGAGGGATCAACCTGCTTGTAGGCATATGCTGCACAAGCACCACAGTAGGTATACCCTGCATGCCTGCAAAGAAAAGCATGTACAATTCAAAGAAGACATCAAAGATTTATTTTGACATATTTTATTCAATGTTTGCTTACGGTGCTATGATGGCTCTAGCAGGTCTGGTGGAGGACTCTGCTTTAGACAGCCAGCCTTCTAGTTGTGCATTCAACTGGGATCCTGAAAAGGTAGAAATTCAAAAATAATTGTATTTCAGACCAATAAAAAATAACTACATTTAAGGGACAGCATCAAAAACAAAAATTGTATACAATCAAAATGAGATGTTGTTGACAGAGTACAGATGAAGGGATAGCTCCCTGGGAAATGAAGGTAATATGTCACAGTAATAATCCCTGATGGATAAAAGTGTTGCTAAAGTGGTTGGTGTGATATTTAAAAAATAAGTGTTATTTTATTGTTGGTGGAAAAATGTAGAACATTGCAATCATACACTGGACCCTTAAGGAAATTGTAGTCAAAAAGCATAAGTTAATGTGTTCTTGCACAGTTAAACAACAAAAATAAGCTTGTCAACACTCTCTACTGGAAAACACTACAATTGTTAGTCTATATAAGGTTTCATGTTATTACAACATCAATCAGTCATAGCTAACTAACGTAACTAAATCTGCAGGAGAAAAAAACAACTACGATCATTGTTTTGTATAAAACGAAAAAAGATAGTTGTAATGTGGGACGATAATGTTATCTATGTTTTCAGATGTATTGTATGGAAATATTATTGTTCATTTGTAACAGAAACATATTTATGAAACATCTGTCGAATACTGTTCGACAGATGTACTGTACAAACAATGCAGTACCGCAAGCTTAAAAGGGATAAACAGGCAGGCTTTCGACGTCAAATACCTATAAACAAGCAGATAGCTAGTGAAATGGGGGAAGGGGTGCAACATGAACCTTCAATGTTCTGCCCTGCCCTTCCAAGTCCTTTGTTTCACATCAGCGAACATTTTGCTCCCAAACTCAGAGTAAGAGACCAGACCGCAATACCAGAAGCTCAAGTTAAAATGTAGCTATTTCGGGGAATCTCTTACTATAACCAGATATGGCAGCTAGGCCAGGAAGTTCTGCAAAATTAGCCAAGTTAGCTTTTGTTATGTAGAGAATATTTAATGTATTGTCAAAATGCTGAACAGCTGATGTGTCTGATTATTTTGGAAGATTTCCATCGACCATCAGAGGAGGAGAAGTGCTGAATAGGCTTAAACCAACCGTGCACTAAACGGGATAACAGAGAAGGGGCAGTCAATAGCAGCTAATGTTAGCTACTCGACTTTTCATCAAATGGATTAGCGTTACATTTATTACATTAACAGTCATTGTCTGCTGTGACAAGCGTTTCATTAGACAGTGTTTGATCTTAAGATAATGAAGGCAATGCAAAATAGAGCCGACAAAGCTAATAAACCATACTACCATGAAAAAAAACCCAGCCAGCTAGCACACAGCCTGCTAACACGGACGGTGCTTTATTGACAGTTACCCGATGCAGAGTACCAGCTCCCGGCGTGACTTGCTTCTCTGCACACCACTCGGTTCGACATCTTGGTTCCCAAGCTGCCTATCTTGGTTTGCTTAACTTTTGTCAGTTAAAAAAAAGGTGAAATTGCAAAAGCCGATGTCTACTAACCAAGAGGAAAAACAATGCCAGCTAGCAGACTTGCTTGTAAAGACAAAGGGCAGTTCGACTGGAAAGACAGCTAGTTGGCTAACAAGCTCAGTTTCCGTCAGCTGGCCGTGGTGTTGTTACCGGTTGATAGGTTTGCCGGAGAGAGCAGCTAACGTCACCTTTTAGACAGTCTATCGTTATTATTATGCAAACCGAAAAGGCACGAAATACAAAACCCGTATATTGTGCAAATATTGTACAGCCAGAAAAGCAGTGACAGAAAAAGCGGCTGTCACAGACGGAATCAGAGGATTCCTTGTTTGTCTGTGTGGAGCCAGGTGAGGGGCGTCGCTGAAACTGTTATGGCAGTGACGTCAGAATATCTTGATTGGTTAATATATTATGCAACAGACAGTGATTGGTGAAAAATCAAAGAGGCGTAGCCGTTACTAAAATGGATGTTTGGTTACGAAATTGCACTGCCCGTAAAGTGAGCGGGTCCAGTGGTATTACCCGTTCACCTCACAGGCATTGAAGCATTAATCATGTGCGGAATGCTTTGTTTTTGATGTGGTACTACCTATAAAGATCCTTTGTATTGTATTGCATTAGTATTGCAATTTATAATGTATGTATGTTTGTATAGTATTGCAGGACTGTGAACCGTGTGTCAATTAAAAATACTCCCTTTAAAGGTTATGAAATGCATTTAAATAACGACTGCAGAGAGAGGCTTCCATATCCTCTCAGAGTTTTGAGCAATTATTACGGTAGTAGGCTAATTATTTGCGATAAGAGGTAAATGTGTATTTAGTTTCCACTTTTCATATAGTAATTCCTGTTAGTTACTTTGGAAATTGTAGTTTTATTATTTATCCAGTAGGAGGCGGTAATGCAACGTCTGGATGCCAACTGCCTCAAAAAAACAAAAAGAAGGAGAAGAAGACATCGAGGTACACAAGGGAAAGCGGAAGTTAGGTTTGGAAATGTTTTTGTTGCAATGAGACCGATGAGCATTGGACTTACTGGTACATATTTTGCATATGGCTTGTTTTATAAACCCATGACTTCGGATTGACCGAATTATAAGTGCTATTTGACCCTGCCCTCATTTAAAAGTGGCTAACGTGGAGTTACAACTGGCGAGAACGTGATAGTGATGTCGGCCAAAACAATGGCAAGTAAAAGCAAAGACAGCGGCGAAGTCATTAAAAACTACCATAAACAGGCGTTTGAGTATGTATCGAAGGCATTGAGGATCGACGAAGATGATTCAGGTCTGTTCAGTGTCTATGAGTTATTGTGTGATGTGTTGTGTCATGTGACAGCTTGTAACAAACACCCGCTTTCTGTTATGACAGGAGCGAAAGAGGAGGCTGTGCAGTGGTACAAAAAGGGGATTTCTGAGCTTGAAAGGGGGATTGCTGTAGAGATCACGGGACAGGGTGTGTTAAAACAAACATAACTCTCAGATGTCCACAGTGTGCAGTGTTGACATGATTTAGCATTATACTCCCATGTTTTTTCAGCAGGAGAGCAGTATGACAGAGCAAAAAGACTTCAAGATAAAATGGTCACAAATCTCAACATGGCAAAAGAAAGGCTCAGTCTGTTAGGTAAGTTCTATTGTTGTTGTTGTTGACATCCTAAATTCTTGACTTACCTTTTTGTTAACAAATTGATTTGGTTATCTGAGCTGATACTGAAGTTCAATGCTGTTCTTGCTTCACAGAAGCAACAATGGCATCTAAAAGGAGGAGCGATCCACTGAAGTCCTTCAATCATGGTCTTCCACAACCAAATCCTGTGCCTAAAAGCCAGCCTGCAGTGCGAGGTAACATCAGACCCTCCACTGTAGTTCGCCCACCATCCAGACCCACCGATCCAAAGGTGATTTCAAATTATATTTAGTCGTCGAGTTGTGTGTCACTTCAATACGTCTAATTCTGATGAAGTGTGTAATGTTTTTGTCCCTTCAAAGGTGACCCCACGGGTGGGAAGACATCAAAATGGAAAACCCACAACTGTGAAGCAGCCGGCAAAAAGGGATATGAAAAACTTCAAAAATGTTGACAGCAAACTGGCCTCCCTAATCATGAATGAAATTGTTGAAAGGTATTTGCAAGCAATGATAGAACAACACCTGCCATTTCAGCTGTCCGTACATTTAAACAAAATGAAAATGTCCTCCTAAAACAGCTTTCTGTGTTCATTACAGTGCGGCATCAGTATCTTTTAAAGACATTGCGGGACAGGTACTGGCCAAGCAAGCACTCCAAGAGATTGTCATCCTCCCTGCCTTAAGACCAGAGGTGATCACTTATGAAAATGTATTCTCTGCTTACACTGATCCTAACAATTTGAGATGTACTAACAACGCTTTGTCACATTTTGCCATCTAGCTCTTTACTGGTCTGAGATCTCCGGCACGTGGTTTGCTTTTATTCGGCCCACCTGGAAATGGGAAAACAATGCTGGTAAGCACTCGATTAGAAGCTGTGTTATAATTATGTTGTTGATGGTGTTGCCTCAGTTTTATCAGATACACCACTGCCTTTTGCTTCCTCTCACAAGGCCAAAGCAGTCGCAGCAGAGTCAAACGCCACATTCTTCAACATCAGCGCTGCCAGTCTGACCTCTAAATATGTAAGAAAGCTCAATATGCCTGGAGTACGTTTCCAGACTTCCCTTAATTTAGCCTTTTAACCTTTTATTTCATCACCATTACAGGTGGGAGAGGGTGAGAAGCTTGTTCGAGCCCTGTTTGCAGTTGCCAGAGAATTGCAGCCCTCTGTCATCTTTATTGGTTTGTATATTTATTGACCAAATGTGCTCCGGGTTATCCCCCCCATCTGCTGGTCATAAATAAAGCTCTATTTTTGTTTTTCCATTCAGATGAAATTGACAGCTTGCTGTGTGAAAGGAGGGAGGGAGAACACGAAGCGTCTCGTCGATTAAAAACAGAGTTCCTCGTTGAGTTTGATGGGGTAAGAGCCACATGTCAAAGTGAACCAGCTCCAGAGAGTTTCGAGTGGAGTTAAGCAAAACAGTGCTTCTCTGTTTCAGGTGCAGTCAGGAGGGGACGACAGGGTGCTCGTAATGGGAGCGACCAACAGGCCTCAGGAGCTCGATGAAGCAGTGCTGAGGTAAATGATGACACTCCACACAATTATTCAGTTTTCATCTGTTACAAGCTCAATAACAATATTCCTCTTGTGTAAATATTACAGGCGCTTTGCAAAAAGGGTTTATGTGGCATTGCCGGATGCTGAGGTAAACACATTTGAACATTCATCACAGTTCATTACTATGATCAGTGTCATCTTTAATAATGCAACATATTTTAAAGTGAATGAACTTATAGGATTTAACTGTCGTCCCTCTAGACAAGATTAACACTGCTGGAAAACCTTTTGGCAAAGCATGGGAATCCACTGAGCAAAACTGAGCTGTCCAATCTCGCAAAGTGAGTTTTTCATATTACCGTACCCTTGCAGCCTTTCATTTATGTGTGTACATGTGCATTCATGTATTCACTGGTACTTGCTTACCATGCTGCCAATGGATCTGGCCCTTCGTACATCCAGGACATGGTTAAACCGTACACCCCAGCGCGTGCACTACGCTCTGCATCAGCCAAACGACTCGCTGCACCCTCGCTGCGAGGGGGACCCAAGTTCCCATCAGCAAAAACATGTGGGTTTGCTATTCTGGCTCCAAGATGGTGGAATGAGCTCCCCATTGACATCAGGACAGCAGATAGCTTGCACATCTTCCGGCGCAGACTGAACTCATCTCTTTCGACTCCACTTCGAGCGATAGATTTATTAACAAAGCACTTATATACTAATAAAGGACTGGCTTATCTAAAGCCAGTTGAGTAGCACTTGAAATGTTTTGGCTCTATGAAGCCTGATGTACTTATATGATTCTGTTTTCTTCAAGGTTGTGTCTTCCTGGTTGAATGTACTTATTGTAAGTCGCTTTGGATAAAAGCGTCAGCTAAATGTAATGTAATGTAATATTCAACATTCGTGGATTTGTAACTTGACAGAAAGAGCGACGGATATTCAGGAAGTGATCTCACGTCATTAGCTAAAGACGCTGCGCTCGGACCCATTAGAGGTAACGCGTTGCATATTTCTGCTGCTCATATATATTTCAGGCTACATCAACTCGGATTCTATTTCATGTATAATTATCTTCTCTTACAGAGTTGGGACCAGACGAAGTCCGAAGAATGGCTGCTAGTGAGGTAATGATACAGTTCTCACAACACAAAAGAGGTTTCTGAAGTGTCATTATGTAACAGTATTTATAGTAATTCTATATTGCTTGTATCCACAGATGCGTAACATCAAACTCAAAGACTTTGAGGACTCCCTGAAGCGCATTAAGCCCAGTGTTAGCCCGGGGACTCTTGGCATGTACGCCAAATGGAACAAGGATTTTGGGGACACGACAGCTTTTTGAACTTTCTTTTGGTTTGAAAAACTGTTAATAAAATAGCAGTTGAACTTATAAACAACAATTAAACTCTTTGTAGGGGGATAAATCTATAATGTGTAAATATTATGACATTTGGAAACCCTTCCTGTTTTATGGGAACACTTTGCTAGCAGGTTTCTTTACTGTATTTTGTCCTTAAACACTCTAGAACTTGAAATTTCATTATTTATTCTCAAGAATGTCCTGCAAAGTTACAAGTGGTCTTTCTCTTGCCTCAGGAGGGCAGCAACTTGCTGTAAACCCTGATATAACTACAGATTTAGATAAGGTTACCCCCCCCCCCCCCATTAGTAACATGATGTACATACATGTTGATGGTTTAATCTCTCCGTTCACACTCATGAGTGATAACAGTCGTGGGAAGATTTGGGGTGCATTTGTAATATAACTTTTCTTTCCACTTGCACTTGAAAAATAAATTCATTGTATTTGAAAGTATGAGACCCTAAGGAATCAGAGAGTTATGGCAACGGCTTCCTACTTTCCCCATGCATCAATAAATTAATTTGTGGAAATATCCTCGGCTTTATTATTTCATTGTATTTCCTTCTTTAATTAAGGTCTTGCTCTGTTTTTATTTCCCATCTCCATTCAAATACATTTTCTTCTATACATCCTCTCACCTGAAGGTAGATGGTGCTGCCACTCCATCTGTTACACAACTCCTTCCTTTTGCTCAGCTTGCATCTAGAGGCAGTCGATATTTTGCCTGCAACCACAGGTTTGTGGAATGCAGTAAACTTCTATGAATGAAAACAAACTGCTGTGTTGCAGAACACCGTCCAGCATGAGTGTTGGATTTGATTTAGTTTGAAGTTTGCGTCAGATAGTTAACACTTGTAGAAGCGTCTGCATGTTGTGTTCATGTACTTACACGGAGAAAATCTCAGGGTTGACAAGTGAAGCTACATTATGCTGAACTGTGATTAATAAGAAGATTGAAGTTTGGATGGGTTACCAGCTGGTATTGCATGGCTGAGTAAATGCTTGTGGTCAGTCAGGGAGATTTTATTTCAGTGCACTCCAAACCTTTCCACTGAAAAACTCAACTTCAATCCCACCTCTCTCCCAAAGGCCCTTCCTATGGTCAGCCGGTGGTGTTGCCTGTGGTTAATGTGGCACGGCAGCTGCATCATCCCTCCCTGCAGATGTTTACAGACTGCAAATGCAAACTATTTCTGCGATTAATAAAACATCTCTGAGTTTTATTTCCACACCATTAGACGGAATACAAAAAAAAAGGGGTTAACATTCAAACCACTGCTGCAACCACACCTACGACTATTTCTTTCCTCAGGGGAAAGATATTAGGTGGAGTGGGTTTTTAAAACTTGTCATGACTGAAGAGCTTCTTTCACGATGCCAAACAGGAATTGCGAGTGTTAGGGATGTGTTTACTCTTCCCTGAGAACATCCTGCACAGTAAACAAATGGTCTTTATGAGAGACTTGTTGCATGAACCTTCATCATTTTATTCTCACAGCTTCCATGTGGCAATATGAAATCAATGCCTGCAGGTGGTAGAATGAGCTTATCACCTCATATCAACATTCTTACAAGTTATTACTTTTAATATCACCTGTAATTACAGTAAAGAGCAGTTATATGCACAAGACAGAATTTAATATTTCAAGCTGACAGAAGACAGAGCATTATTGAGGTGGTTTTAAACCTTGGAGATGATTGACAGCTTCCCTTTTTGGGTGCGTGTCAGAGGCCCACACCTCCACAGTGGCTCATTGATGCTTTGACCACGACATCCACTCAAGGGAAAACAGAATAGGTGATCATTTGATACCTCCAGTGAAATAGCCCACCCTGTAGAGAGTAGAATAATAGTCAACACAGTGAGGACCTCTGACTGACTGAGCAAACAGTAAGAGTGTTTCTTCAAGTGGCCCATTATGAAAACAGCATGTGGATGGGAGGGTTTTGTTATAGTGAATGCATGTGTCTCACTTCAATGCTGCTGGGATCTTTAAGTTTATGTAGGTAGCAATTAGAAACAGGACATGTCCTATCAATGGTCCTGCCTTACAGTAATAGATGATTTAATACAGTACACTGGCTGTGTGCAGCAGCATTTTCGGAAGTAGGGCTGTGAGCTTGGCTATTTTTTAAGAAAAGCCTGGTTGTAAATTGTTGAGCTGGTGGAAAGGGACTTCCTTCAACATTTTGGATTTGGCCCCTTTATCACCCTTATTTTGAAGATGTGGTTGAGGGCTCACAGTGGAAAGCCTTCAGGGTTGAGTGTGTCCACTCTCCAGCTCTGGCTGCTACTGTTCCCCCGGCCTCAAAACACCCAATACATAACTTCATTTACCATGCAAGTGTTATCTTTCTCCCCCAGGGGAGGCTACATGCCGAGTCTAATCTTGTATCCAATGGCAACATCTGTCTTTTATGAGCAAATTCATATATTTTAGCTCTCTGTTTATTTATGGTGGGTGTGTTTGTGAGTGTATGAAAGTGGAATAAATGGGCTGCATAAATATGAACATATATGTGAAAATGGGTCTATTTATACTAGGTCAGCCTTAGCCTGGGGCAATAAGGAAACTGCAATCAAGATCATGTGAAGTTGACACTTTGGATGGAATGGATATTTTAACATTTTGGGAAATTTGATTATTCACTTTCTTGCATAGATTTTCCTTACTTCTTAAGATTGTAGCCCTGAGAATAAATCATCATGGGTGGTTTTTACCAGACTGACCTATTTGTAAACATAAATGATGGTCAGATATGACACATGGGAGCATTGGGAATTGCTTCAATAAGGGGACATATATAACAATTGTGAAAGAATGTCATCCACAAAATGTAGCAAAGCTAAAATGAGAGGGGTTTGTTTTTGCTGCCTGATTTGTGTTCATGGAAAGTGTTTAGAGTAACCAATGTTCACTCTCGCAGAGGGATAGGTCTGTGGTAAGGTCTGAAATAGCTAGTCTTACACTATCTAATTTGGGATGCTGGCACCTTTTTACTAGAAAAAAAGCCTGTAGAAAATACACTTTTTATAAAGTGTTGTAGCAATTTATGGAGATGATTGATCCATAGTGAAAGGAGATTATTTTCAGTCACTCAGACTGTGGTGATAGAAAAAAAAAACTCAGAATGTATCAGTGTCTGCATGCTTTAGTTTAGAGTGAACACAGTTAAGCTCATGTTTTATTTTCTCTTCCACTGCAGCCTGCAGCCACAAAGCTGTAAAGCTTTAAAGTGTGAGGTGGACAGAGGAGAGTGAACGCTCTGGCTTGCTCGCACATGACCCTAAAAGCCATTCATTTCAGAGAGGTGATCAGGAGCCAAACTTTTGTCTTTGACAGATGTTTGAGACTTCATATCAGTCAGTGCAGCTTGTCAAAACAAAACAAACTATGTTTGTCATTAGTCTCACATCCAGATGGCCACCCAAACAAATAAGTGATGACGTTAGTGTGGACAAACACCCTTGCCAGATGATGCTCAGGATACATATTGGCCTTGGACCGAGGTGGACATGTTGGGACGTGGGGTTAGACGCAGGGAGGGCGGGGAGACGATGCTGAGGGGAAGGGTGCACTCACTGTCAAGGTTAGCTGCAGGCTGCCCTGCGGTGCATTCCTTCAGCTCGTGTGCAGCCAAAACACTTGATGAAAAGTGAAAGTGCAGAGAGGACTGAGCATTTTCAAAAGAAAAATGCCCTTTCTGACAGTCATTCCGCTTTTCTTACTCCCTCTTGTCCTCCCCTTTTTATCCCTTTGTTGCCCTTCCCTCGGGTCATTCATGTGAGGACAGAGTCAGCTGCACCTCTGACCCCGGTCAGGTTCACTGTGCGGCAACCAGCCCATTCCCATATCATAATGTATAAGTTAGTATCAACCTACCTACCATCAGAGTCAATCCTTTAAAATCACTTTTTTTATCTGAAGATTATCATTGTATATCATGTTGTACTAAAGGGAGTATTACAATATAATATTATGGCAAATGGCTTTTTATTGACAGTAATGAACTCACACAGGACAGTGTTACTTTATCACCTTTTTACAGCTACAACCACTTGAAGCACAATAAAGCCTGATTGGGTGAGTATTGGTATCTGAGCCTATAATGTGAAGTTGGTCAGTCATAGGTTGTGGCAAATGTCACTCCCTATCAATTCTAATTTAACTTCATTTACAGTCCATCGTATTATTTGAGTGTTGACATTTTGAATGTTAATATATCTACTATTACCCTAAAAAGTTCCACAATTGGATGAAAATGTAGTATCAATTGCACTTCTTTCTGCTAAGAATCTTAAAACACAATGCCTCTGGAACTCCCTCCCAGATCAGCTGAGATCTGCCCCTTCCACCAAGGTCTTCAAAACCGGCCTTAAGACCCTCTTCTTTCGGCAGGCCTTCCAATAAACTTTTAGCATGGTACACCTGGAGTACTGCCATTTTTATCACTATCACCGACTTTTATTTTTGTACTTTATTTTATATTTTACATTTTATTTTTTGATTTCTTATTATTATTACAATTATTTGTTTAATCTATCAAAGTGTATTAGTATCCTTTGTTGTGAAGCACTTCGAGATTTGTCTTGGCAGATGAGAAGCGCTATATAAATTAAATGTATTATTATTATTAATGTGACACATTTAATAGATGCAAGAATTTCCAATGCATTACTCTACAAAACTATAGATTATGGGTGAGTATCCAACATTTCAGATTACTGCTTAGAGTCGACTTAAAAGACTTAAGACTTAAAAACAAGTAGGCCTACATTTATTTAACTTCAGGTAGATCTCAGTCTCAAAAGTGACCCCTGCCATAGGTTAAACTGTTGAGAGTCCATTATTATAGAGGGAGTAATGAATGAGTGAACAAGGGGGTGATTATGGTGACACAGCCATAAACTACGGTTGAACATGAGTCTACAGCCATGCTAATAGCTCTGTCCGGTTGTAGCCCTCATGCACACTGTGGTTCATGAAGCAAAATGATCATTTAAACATGCTAACAAGCTCACAATGCCAACATGCTAAGCATTAATGTTTAGCACGAATAATGTTTACCATGTTTGCCATGTTAGTTTAGTTTGTCAGCATACTAACGTATGCTAATTAGCACAAAACACGTAGTAGCCTACAGCTGATGCTAATAGGATGATTGTGCTACATGAGAAGTCAGAGGACTATCATAATCATTAGAATTCATCATGAATGAACCTTAAATGCCTTGAATGCCTTGAAAATGCCTTGAAAAAGTCATCCATTAGTTGCCTAAATATTTCACTCAAAACCAAAAGTTTTAACCTTGTGATGGGGTGAAAGGAAAAGTCAGGGGATGACCAAAGTATTTCTGAGTCGTCTTCTGGGACCATTGATGCTTTCAGGAAAAAATGATGGACCACCAATATTTTCCAACTTTAAAAAATGACAACACAACATTGACTGAGTGAACTCAGAGAAGGTTGTTTTTTCTTCCTCGTGATAAATTAATATCTTAATAATCTTAATTACTTTAAAAACAGGATCATA